GGAAGGAGGGGGGATGGTTAATTTCTCCTTGTTTTAAGATCCAAGGGGTTTGGATCTGTATTCACCAGGGAATTGGTGAAAGGTTTCTCAAGGCTTCCCAGGGAAGGGAATTAGCACATTGGGAGTGGTGGCAGCGGACCAGATCTAAACTGGTAGTTAAGCTTAGAAGTTTTCATGCAGGCCCCCACATTTGTACCCTAAAGTTCAAAGTGGGGAAGCAGCCTTGACAGCATCAATGGCCAGAACCGTCTTGATTTGGGGGGAAAGCAGAAAACCAAAAGGGGGAAAATGCGGGACACATGGAGCCCTTGCCATCTGATTAGCAGAGGCACAGCTTCAAGAGATGTTTGATCGATAAACAACTGACAACTAGCTGATGGCACCTATTAATGCCTTCCAGCATAACAATACCCCATCTCATCTCTATTTATCCTCCCAATAGAGTTTACTATGTTGACATCCTGAATGACTTATCTCCCAGACTAACAGTGGGGAGGGGAAGAAGGCTTGGAGGGAATGGGGGTGTACACACAGCCCTGGGCATGGCAGAGAGAATGGGGGACCCTGGAATGGGGGTCAAAGATGCTGATGCAGGGAAGGTAAGAAAGGGGGAACACAGAGCCCCTGCCATGTGGGGGAGACTAGAGGACCCGGGAATTGGGGGCATACAGAACCCTTGGCAGGGAGGCTCTCAACAGAAGAGGATGGGAAGGTGGCACACAGGCTGCTTGTGAGGGGGATGGGAGGAAGGCAAAGAGTCCTTGGTGCATGCCACAATCTCAGCCTACCTAAGCTATGAAGTATGCAACCCCCTCAGTTAGGGCTAGATTGTAATATTACGGTCTGCTTTGACTAAGGGGCAAGGTGTAGCCACGCTGCTCCAGAACTAGCCTCAGGAGACATTACCATGATTCCTTCCTGGGTTCCCTTTGCTCCAGGGAGGAAATAACCCCATAACCCTAGCAAGTTACTTCCTCCTCAGCTGTGTCATGTGGGAGGCTGCACTGTGACCTGCAATGCAGGTAGCCTACAAAGGCAGTAAGGGGACTGCTTGCATCCCATGACCCCCGTCACAGTCCTGCCCATAGCTGATGACAGGCAGTAACGAAGTAAAGACAGCACTGACGCTGCTGCTGTGATCTAGCCTGGCTCCATTCTCCGCAGTTGGCTCCTGTTCTGTTGTGTGTGAGGCAGAGACTGGGAGAGTCCATGGGAAGGGCGGCACTGCACTGTAAGATGCGTGGCAACTTCGCACTCTCTGCTGAAGCTCAGCCCCCAATACTCTGCTCTGCCCGATGGGTATCCGGGTCTTGGCTCCCATCTTTCACTCCCCAACCCAGCAGAAGCTGGGATCAACCAACCTCTGAGGAACAGGGTGAATGTTTCACATAACTCTACCCTACTTCGCCCCAGCCCCAGCTGGGTAAGGAGCAGTGTGGACAGATGACTGGACAAAATATGACACTCCTCCATGGGCAAAAGGATAGGGATTGCATCATCACTCCTCAAGGCTGGAGGTGGATAGCAGGCAGTATCAGGCCTGACTAGGACATAGAGGACCCACAAAGATAGAAAACAAAATGGGAACACCTGTAGATTCATTGGGCCCATCTGTACCATGAAACTAACCATGTTTATGCATAGTTGGGGGATCAACATGTTATAACAGGGTTTGGTGCTGTCTGCATGGATGACACCAAACTGCCCTGTAACAACAAAGTTAAAAACACAAACAACCCAGGCTTTAGCCCAGGGCTAGATGGTCTTTCACACATTGTGACCACACAGCGTTATAGCCATCCACACAGGCAGCACTGAACCATGTTACAACATGGTTAGTCCCCAAGGACGTTAAACATCAGTATTTAAAAGCAATCAGTTTCATAGCATACCCAAGCCCCTTGCACACCAAGTAGAGAGAGGTGTTATTTAGGACTACATTGGAACTGGAAGTAATGTGACGCAGTTAAGAAAAGGAAACTTCTGCGTGACTTATCACAAAAATCTCGCTGCTAGAGAGATCTACTAGGGAGTTGAGGAGAGTCTCTAAGGAAGCAACGGAAACCCCAGTCTCAGGAAACACAAAACTATCTGGACAAAGCATTAGTAAATGTATAGTTGGGAAACGTACATGAGGATGGACTAGACATAGAACTTTTCCATCTGTAATTTTTATTGCTCCATTTCCACAAACACCACATGAAGAATTCTAGAGTGCAGTTCTAGCTCACGGCCTCTGCTGCAGCAAGCTGCAGATCTGTCTGGGACGCAGTTCTCTCATTTTTCCCCCCTGCAGCCCACAAGAAAAAGGTGACATCCAGGATAGGGTTACCATATTTTGAGTGTCCAAAAAGAGGACACTCCACGGGGCCCCGCCCCCGCCCCAACTCCACCCCTTCCCCAAAGTCCTCGCCCCAACTCCGCCCCCTCCCCTGCTTCCCGCGAACATTTGATTCGCGGGAAGCCTGAAGCAGGCAGCAGGTAAGCTGGGGCGGGGTGGGGGGAGAAGGGGCGGCCCAGTCTGGCCCCCTCCGGCGGCCGGCCACGGCCCCGGCCCCAGCATCTCCAGCCTGGCTCGGCTCGGGCCCTGGCCCCGGGCCAGCCCCCGGCCGAGCACCCCCGGGCCAGCACCGCTGGCCCCCGGCCCGTCCCCA